CATCCAATCACATTATTTTACAGATAAAGAAAATGAGCTCAGGAAAGATTAGTGACAGCGCCCAGACTATAACCCAGGCTTCTTGTTCAATGATTTTTTTTTTATTCCATCACCCTAAATGCAATGAGAATAATAACATATTTTTATTATAGTATTTTATATCATATCACATATCTAGTGCCTACCCCCACCTATTACCTTATATTTCTTTTATTTTAGATATTTTGCATCTATTTGTATGTATACACTTTGTTTTCCTCAGTAGAATGTAGTACCTTGAATGCAAGGACTGTTTCATGTTTGTTGTTGTATCCCTAGTACCTACCATTTTTGTACCAATAGTACCAATTTGTTCATCAACTGTTTATTGTGAATAGTATTTCAAACTTGCTTCTGCTGATCAAATAATAATTATATGCTGACTCTTACTATTTGTGTGACTTAGGGCAAGTCACTTACCCTCTCTGGGCTGGGCCTCAGTTTCCTTATCTACAAAATGAAGAGCTTGAAGAAGTTGGTTACTTAGGTCCCTTTCTTCTCTAAATCTATCATCCTATTATTTCCTTTTCACTAAATGAAAGCTTTTTTGATCCTAATTAGACTAGCTCTTCCACCTAAAGAAAGCTAATATAGTTTTGAGCCTAAAAATGTATGATTATTTCAGCAATTTCACTCTTTAAATTAAAAGTTATTTTCAACAGTTTTGGGTCTTACCCACTTTATTCACTCATTCATTTAAACATAGGTGGTAAGCACCAAATGAAATCGCCAAAAATGAAATTGATTGTAATAAATTTTAACAGACAGTAAAAAATATAACCAATGTAGGAATCATTTCAGATTCTACACTCTGGGTGCAGTCAGACCACTGACTGAATAAAGCAAATATTAAAATCAATACTTAGCTAGAAGAAAGAATAAAATTGAAAAGATATGGCATTCAGTTGAGGTGAGGCAACTCCAATCTAACCTGTTTAACCCAGCTGTTGTCACTAACAAATAGGAAATGGATAGAAAAATAGACATTGACAGAGACTATTCTCATTTCCAAAGGAAGATTAATTACTATAAATGAATCATCAGAATAAGGAGAATAAGATAGCCTAAAAAAACATCTCAGTCAACAAACACTTGACTTCTTTGTCAAGTGGAAAGATATATGACATCTAAATGCAAAATCAATTTAGAATATAAACTTATTTGAAATGTCTTGGAGAGAAAATCAGCAGAAAATGACTAATATTTTTGTTCAATAGTGAGGAAGCATGGCCCCAAAGTCCTCAAAACACAGATTTATCAAATGCTTGGCAAAAGGCCAAACTAATCAAAACCACCCCCAGGGCATTAAATTATGAAAATGGAACGATGACAATTGGGTGAAAAATGAAAAAGAAAACCTGTACAGTTTTTTATAGCAAATTCTCTTCAACATCAAATCAATGGAACTAAATGCATTTAACATTGAAGCACCTGAAGTGTTATATGAAAAAATGGAAATGAGACTGAAGAAAAACAAAGATAGGGAAATCAATTGGACTATTCTCAATATGTTGTTTCCACTATGATTATTGTTTGTTGATTATGAAAAGCATTTGATTTGTTAGAACAAAACACTGCTCTTACAAAAAGGTGCCTCCCATCTATACATTAAAATCACTCAAGATTTTTTGAAAGCTGTAACCACAGAAATAACTCTATTCAATAACCCTTGGATGGTAAACATCAGGCAAGGCATAAAATAGGAAGGGTTATGTTTGCCAAAGGTGTTTGCCACTATGATGGAGATGATCCAGGGAAGAGTCTAAGTTGAAAAGGAACTCTGTGAATGGTGAGATCCTCTGGATGCTTCTGTTTGCAGATGACATTTTGTTGACTACATTAAATCTAGAAAACACTGAATCTATGATAGAACTGTAATCAGTCAAAGTAGTTTGGCCTGACCATCTATACAAGAAAGTCAAAGTGAATAAAGATTAGCTATTGCCCAGATGACAGCATGTGTTTGGATAGACAGCCTGTAGAGTTCCTCCATCAGTATCTCTAGAAGAAGCAGTATCAATGGATAGCATATTGGGACCCAAGTTGAACAGACCATGGAGCATGGGCTAATTTATCTTCAGGAAGTTTTGTGTGTGTGTGTGTGTGTGAATGTGTGTGTTTGGCTAGGCAACGGGGTTAAGTGACTTGCCCAGGGTCACACAGCTAGTAAGTGTTATGTGTCTGAGGCTGGATTTGAACTCAGGTCCTCCTGAATCCAGGGCCGGTGCTCTATCCACTGTGTCACCTAACTGCCCCCCTTCAGGAAGTTTTAAAGCTTTTCTAATGGTCCCAGGCTTCCCGTGAAAACAAAGGACCATCTTTTTCAACAGGTTTTCTGCCAGTGTTTCTATATGGCAGAAAAACATAAAAATTCAATAATCTCCAAAGAATTAACAATGAATGCCACATAAAGGCACCCACTTGGTGGGAGTGAGTAGGCTGTAATGTGATCCATGAAGAACTCCAAAATATAGGAATAAAAGATATCATCAAATAGTTTTATGATAGAAGAAAAGATGGATTTTTCATGGGGTGTGGGTTAGGATAACAGGTAAATAGTCAGAATATTCCGTTCATACCCACATGACATTAGGAGATGTCAAAGTAGGGCTTCCTTGCCCCAGACTTTGTATAGCTTTTGTGGGGTCTTAAGGAGGACAGAATCCATAAAACAGATTTTGGGGACACCAGAGCCTAATCAAAGATGTAACAGAAGTTAAAAGGACTTTCTTAATCCTAAATCAGTTATTTGTTTGGGACCATGGACTTCAAATAAACGTATGATACAGTTAATAAAGAGAATATAGTTAATCTTAACCTGAGATACAGAGTTAACTTTTGTTGGTTGCTGCCTGGATTATAGAGTTTGACTAAATTTTAAAAGAATAGACCTTCCTCTGTCAGGTAGAAACTTTCTAGCTACTGCAATATAGCCTACAGTAGTAGAGAGCAGCAATCAGCCTTGAAGAGGCTAAATAGCTGAGGCTGTGCAGATGGTAGCTGAGAAAGCTTGGAGACCAGGACACCAACAGAGATACCTAGAAGAGATGACAGGATGGAGATGTGACATCCAGCTGAGATGATAAGCCTAGCAGGAAATGGTATAGTCACATAAAAGAAGGGCAGTGGCAGTTCCGCAAAACTGGAGGCTTGAATTGCCCTGACCATATGTGTTCCTATCTGTGTGCTCTCAGATGTTCCTGTTCCCTGACCACCTAAGTTCCCTCCATGAATACATGAATGTTCCCTGGTATTTTGTGTTCTCTATGTGTCTTTCCTCTCCTTTTTCACCTATAAAACTGAAACAATTTTACATATGCTGTCTATATTAAAGAGTTATTGTGAAGATCAAATAATCCAGTGGATGTGAAAGCCCTTTGAAAACTATAAAGTGATATCTCAATATGTCACCACCTTAAGAACCTGTGATTTTTCTTAGTATGGGGAATTCACAGTGGGAATTTTCTCTGCTAACTACAAATTACAGTCTTAGGAGAATTAGTGGAGGGTCAAAGAGTTAAGTAAGTTGCACATGGACATACGGCTAATATGTTTAAGAGGTGGGATTTAAACCTAGATTCCTCTAATTCCACTAAACATAAGGATCCCTACAGGCTGTGCATTGACTTCGCTTTGACAAGTAATATTATCTATATTTATTGTATTTTTATTTATTTTGTTAAATATTTCCAAATTACATTTTAATATGTTTCCAGTCACATTTGGGAGTGTTGTGACCCATGCTTGTGTGGCCTGTTAGCCCAGTTTGACTTTTCTGTACCATATGACTTCTGAGTTCCTCTACAATTCTAATCCTATCACCACTCTGCTGCCTGCAACCAAAAGTCAGAATCACTCCTTGTCTAGCAACCTTATGCATGTGCCATTAATTAACTCTGTGACCCTGGCCAAGTCACTTCCTATCTCTGGACCTCAGTTTCCTTGCCAGTAAAAAGAAGAAGTTGGATTAAATTATCTCTAGGCTTCTTAGCAACTTTTGCATTCCATGACTATAGAAATATAACCCACTTCATTCTACATGAGAAAAAACTGAGGTAAAATGACTTCTTCAAGGCCACACAGACAGTAAATGGTAGTGAGATTCAAACTCAGGTCTTCTTCCCCCAAATATGGTGTTCAATCCATTATACCATGTTGTCAATTTTCCATTGGCATACCTGACATTCCAAGAAAGGAATACTGAACTATGCTGAACAACATTACCTTTTCTGTCTTTGATGATACATTTATTCCAGGTAATTCACTACAATTTAGTGCTTTAAGATTTTATTTTTACCCTTTTTTGATTGACAGTTCTGCTCTTCTGCTTTTACTTTCATAACATACAAAAGAATAATTTTGCTATCATATTATCCATCACTCCTTTGAAGACCTATGTAAGAAAAATGGAATGATCATTATAAAAAGACATGGAACTTTAAAAATGAAATTTGTTTTCAAAATATAAAGCAAAAATATTTTTAAAAAAAGTTTATTACCTTTGTGATACTCACCTCCTTCTTACCAGAGTGGTTGATTGAATAGACCCCCACTATTATGTCCACATCCAACCATTTTTTTTCCATAGAATATTAGAACTGAAAGGAATCTGAGAAATCATCTAATTTGGAAAAGGAAAAAAAAACATTCCCACTACACATGAAGAAAGTGATGCCTAGAGAACTGGGGATTTGTCCAAAGTCACATAGCACATTAGAGACAAAGATGAGAACAGAACTTGACTCTTCTGACTCCTACTCCCATGTGCCTTCTACTACACCAGATTTTTCTGTTGGTAATGTTAAATCCATGAAGAAACATAGGACTGAGATCAATGGGGGATGAAATTTGGACAAATAGACTGGAAGTAGGGTTGGGAACTAGTCTCAGTTCAGTCTCAGATAAAGTAATGACCTTTTGAAAGCCAATTGTCTAATCCAGGTTTTTTTTTTCTGTTATAGAAGGAAGATGATAATGACTACTTCTGGAATAACACAATTTTAGAGCTCAAACAGACCTCAGCAGCCTTCTGGTCCAACTCATAGCTAAAAAAGAAATGATGATGTGAAAGATGTATAATCATGGGTTCTTATGATTCTATGGGACTTAAAAAAGTAATCTTTTTTTGGTACACTTGCATATTTTAAAGTTTTATTGATGTCTTTTGCATTTACATTATATTAATTTCTGAATATACCTCTCCTGTCTTCTATCAGTGAGCCTTCCCTTATAACAAAGATTGAAAAAGGAAAAAAAAAACAGTTGAGTAAAACCAACAAGCAAGTCATCTGTATCTGACAGCATATGTAACATTTTGTATCTATAGGTCCCCACCTCTTCAATGAAAGGAAAGAGGTATATTTTCTCATCTATTCTGGAGGTCAAGCGATTGTATAATCTTCATTTTGTTTATTATTCTTTCTATTTATTTTGTTGTAGTCATATATATACACACATATATGTATATCTATTTTTGCCCCTTTCTGTCTCCCTCCTCTCTCTTTCTCTCCTTAAGTCTCTCCACCCCACCCTTTTCCCCTTTCTTGTTCTCCTTCATCAGAGATTGAAAAAATTAGTCACCAAAGTCTTTATATTTTTGAAGATCATCACAGAGTCTTCTTTCAATTTCTTTTCCAGGATATACAAATACAGTTCCTTTAATATTCCTCACAACAAACACTGGTAATTTCTGTTCCTGTGTGTTCAAGTTTGCTGCACAGGTGTGTCATGTTTCTCTCAGTACTTCATTATCTCTTTCCTAAATGTGAAAGTAAATTTGAAGTTATGGCAACTGCTCTATGTGTAAGGGCCCATGTGCTGATTTCCTCTTCATATTTATAATGGTTTGCCTCACCATGTCTCATGATCTCTTCTCATACTTGCTGTTAAATTTTTTTTCATGTGCTTTTTTTTAGCTCTCCAATTTTTGAGTGCTCTTCAGATATCAGAGAAACATTTTTCCAAATACTTCATTTTCTTACTTTTCTGCCAAATAAAAAGTGGTAAGGATTGAATCAACACAATAAACTATTCCCCATCAATACTATTTCCTCTTAGATTTTTTTTTTTTTAGGCAATTGGAATTAAGTGACTTGCCCAAGGTCACACAGCTAGTAAGTGTCAAGTGTTTGGTCTGAAGCCAGATTTGAACTCAAGTCCTCCTAACTTCAGGGCCAGTGCTCTATCCACTGCGCCACCTAGCTGCCTCTTCAATTTTTACCAGTCTACTTTCTCTGTGCCTCTATTTCCCATGCTCACATAGCTATGTATTCTTAGACATGGAGCTCTAATGAGTGATGTTACCAGTATTGTGGGTTTGATTTTTAGTTTTAATTAAAATTTTGTTTTACCCCTAGTCTGATTTCTTTAGCAAGAGCTAAATCTAAAGTAATGAAGATGTTTCAGATCCTGCCTCTGATACTTACTAGTTGTGGGACCACAGACAAATCATAGAGAGGCATCAGTAATAACACCTATAATGTACCTATTTCAATGGTTATTATGAAGCTCAAATGTATATAAAGCACATTGTAAAATTTCAAGCCCTATACAAATGACATTATTGTCTTATGTGTGGCCAACTTCTTTTAGTTGTCAGTCCCTATGCTGGAGCAAATTTGGAATAAATTGTCACCTTTTGGAACTACAAGGTCTTCTACTTGTTTACTATATTTTTTTTTATTGAGTTTTGTTCCAGTCTATCTCTGTGCAATTGACTTTATTAAATTACCCATGTAATTGACTTACACCTATAATGTTTACTCAAATTGAACCAACCTTTTCTGGAGGCAGTTTCTTTTTTTTTCTAGAGGGATCTGAAATGTCTGTTAGCATGTTGAAACATCTTTAAATTTCAGAAATAAAAAATCTGACCAGCTGTTCAAAATATGGTTGATATTGAAGATGCTTGCCTCTATTTCCCTGCATTGCTCTTTGTTACCCACTCCTTCCTTTGTATAAAATGTCCTTGCCCTCTGAGACACAGAGATGTAGAGTATATTATGCTACACAATGCAGAGAATGCAATTTCTTGTCATCTGAAGTTGCTGGCAGAGCAAAATAAAATACTGCATTTCAGAAGCTTCATTTATTCCTACGGTGAAATACAGTTTTTCTTGGTTGCTTGCCAGTTCATTTCCTTAAAAGTAAAGTAAAAATTTTTTGGGGGAAATCAACATAACTAAATCATAGGCCAATTTAAAGAGGTTCTGAAAACTGACACTAGTTTATCAAACCAGATAAGAGGAAAATACCTTATTTAGTGCAGAAGAACCAAATCTCCCCATAAAAATAGTTTTCCTATTTTTCTTCTATAGGAAAGACATTCTCATAATACACTTCCTTTCTACTATAATTGATGACATAAGAATTAATATAAACATTCTAAACTGTAAAAAAGACAACAGGTAATTCCAAATATAACTAAGCTGCTAAAAAGTACCTTTATTAAAATTTCTACTTCGTATAAATGATCGTAACTATAAAACAACCTAAAACATTGTCTTTCTTTAATAGTTGTAAATCTTTCAGACAAATCAACTGATCACTGAACATCACATTTAAATCTGGCCTATTTACTATTTACTTACGGAGCATCTACTATGTGTTTAGTGCTCTATGGGGGGAGAGAGAAGGAGGCAAAAATAAAGAGCAAATATAGCCTTTGCTCTTGAGGAGCTTGCAATCTTGATGGGAATATTAGTTCATGAGTAAAACAATTTGAAAAAGATTGTATTCATATGGAAGCAAGAATAAAGAATCTATTTTAAAAGGAGATTTATTTAGTATATGGCAATCAGACATTTTCCAGTGTTTGGTGAAGGTAAACCTACCTTCTCTAAAACAAAATAAAACAAAGCAAACAAACAAAATAACCTTTTCCTGGGTGGGGTATGAGAGATACAGAAGAAACAACAATACTTTTGAAATTCTGCCCCAGCCCTGGTAACAAGAGAATTTTCCCAGCATGCTTTGTAGAAGCTGACGGATCATGACACTTGAAGCTGGAGATAGGGGAAATGTCACTACAACTCCTTGAACAAACCTTTATTTCATTTCTGCTCAGCCTCTTCTGCATGAATGACTTATGATGATTCAGAGGGCCCGCCTTTTTTTTTTGTTTGTTTGTTTCAACCTGTTTCTTCTTCCCATTCTTCCTTATTGCCTGGATGGATGAATAGTTTGGGCCATTCTCGCTATTCTAAGTCTGCACCTCTCTTTCATTCTCCACATAGAATAAACCTAACCTCATTTAATCCAGTTTTGCCCACCCCAGATTTTCTCTTATATGGTATAACCTACAAAACATTTGCATTTCTCCAAAGTCTCCTCCCATATTCTGTAGTATGTGGTGCAAAATTTCATGCCATTTAAAGTTTTGATGAATATTCTGAAAGGAAACCTCTATAGAATCTGAGTGGTCTGAGAAGTTGTATGAAAGGATCTATAATTCTGTCCATCTTTTTTTTTTAACCATCAAACACCCAGCCAGCAATTGGCAAAACCCCTCAGTTTTAGATCTCTTTCTTTTCTTTGGCAAACTTAGGAAACTGTAAATATGGATGGACATATCAAAGTAATTAAAATCTAGTCTAAGCAATATTCTAGAGGAGGAAAGACTGAAAGTTTATTTGTTTTTTGACCAATGTCATCATTATTTTCAGGAGTTTCAGTTATGGCATACTCCTATCTATTTTGGAGGAAGAAACTTTTCATTTTCCAAATCCTTGAGATAATCCTTGGTTTGGAGGTTGGAGCTGCTGCCTATTAACAGTGAAGTCCTTGAGTATGTATGTAGGGAACAAGCTGTTACCCTGCTGGCTACACAGACTTTGAGGAGAGGGAAACTGAATGGAGAGGAAGTTATAGTGATAGAGACTGGCTAGAGAGCATCTTGGGTGGGAAGCTCTGTGTGCTATGTTGATGTTAATTTATCTAAAAGACATGTATATAGTTTTCAGTCAGTTACGTTTTCAGTTTATTACAGTTGGAAATTCATCTTTTAAATAAGTTTTTAAAATTATTTTCTATTTATATCAAATGATTGTTAATATATATGGCCAAATATTACATGCTTGTCTCTTCTAACTAAATACAAGGATTTAATATTGGTTTTGCAACACTCTTAGTATGTAATAGTGCTGGGGTATGGTGGTAAGGAAGTTTTTCATTCCACTCCTATTTGCCCTCTTCATCTGACCATCCTGACAATCATATTTATTACCTAGATAAATATAAACTGTCCTTTGGTCTGAGAAGTTGTATGAAAGGATTTATAATTCTGTCCATTTTTTTTTAACCATCACCCAGCCAGCAATTGGCAAAACCCCTCAGTTTTAGATCTCTTTCTTTTCTTTGGCAAAGCTCCCTTTTCAATTGCCTGCTTTCCCCCCCAATACAGTATACCCAGACTAACAACAACCTGTATTTATGCCATTTATAAAGATGAGGCAAACATTTAAAACAACATTAAAAAAGGTAAACAGTCTTTGTAGTGCCCAAAGGGAAAGATTTCAAGCTATTTAGGGAGCCCTTCGTGAGAAAGTAGATACAGGATTATCCCTTTGGGATCTGTAGGGGGAGGATGAGGAGGTAGTTTCTAACAACACAGCTTTTGTCCCAGTACTCCAACCAGATCTGCCCAAGCAACCTTGCACTCAAAGTCCTGGCTCTTTCCTTGGCAGTGGAAACTTCTGTCGTTTCTTTTCCCTTAGCGCTAAGCAGCTTCTTAGGGCCTCCCCTTCTTCAGCACCAAGCATCTTCTATGCACCTAGCAGAATCTGCTTACATTTTCAAGGTCTCTCTCTTGGATTCACTGACTAAACTTGTAAAAAGGCAGGACTTCTATTCTTCATCCTATGATATTTTTTCCTTTCTCATTCACTTAAAGGACTTGTTTGTATATCATAGAGAGGTGACAGCATGGCCCTAATTTTACAGTTAGTTTATGATACGGGACCCCTTTTCTATGATTAGGCTTATGGTATTTATTATCTTTGTATTTATTTTGAATATATTTTTACATCTATATTGATAGCAATATAGCTATAGCTATATCCTTTCTGACTTCCTCATTAAAATGTAAGCTCAATCATAGGGATTACTTCATTTACTGTACTTATATCTCTAGCATCTAGCATAATACCTGGGAGTAGCTAGGTGATGTGGTAGAGTGCCAGGCCAGGAGTTATGA